CGAAAGCTTATGCTCTAATAAATTTGTTAGTCTCTAAGGTGCCACAAGTACTCCTGTTCTTTTTGCGGATACAGACTAACACGGCTGCTACTCTGAAACCTGTCATTATGCAGGATAAATTCATGGTGGTTAAGTCCATTAATGGCTATTAGCCAGGACGGGTAAGGAATGGTGTCCCTAGCCTCTGTCTGTCAGAGGGTAGAGATGGATGGCAGGAGAGAGATCACTTGATCATTACCTGTTAGGTTCACTCCTTCTGGGGCACCTGGCATTGGCCACTGTCGGTAGACAGGATACTGGGCTAGATGGACCTTTGGTCTGACCCGGTACAGCCTTTCTTATGTTCAATGTTAACTGGCATTCAGGACATCTTGGGGTACTTGTTGCACCTTCAGGTCTTGCACTCAGTTTGTTGAAGGTCCACCTGGCTAAGATTTTGGCATTTCATCTGCTCATCCAGGGGAGGTTGGTATTTTTGAACGCCATGGTAGCAAAGTTCTTGAAAGGAGTCTTTGTCTCCACACACCAGTGAGAGAACTGGTTGCTTTGTGGGATCTCAATATGATTTTAGCAGCTCTGATGGGACCTCCATTCAAGTCTTTGGTATTTTTTCTTTTCCTCTTCTATGTAAAAAGACTGTCTTCCTGCTGGCTTTGACATACCATTGCAGGCTTTGATGGCAGAGCCTCCTTATATGCAATTCTCTAAAGACAAAATGACCTTGTAGCCACACCCTAAGTTTTTATCTAAAGTGATGTCTTAATTTCACCTCAACCCAGGCAGTGTATCTAGCCGAGTTCTGTCCTAAGTCGCATTCAACCCTGAAGGAGGAGCGTCTTCATTCACTGGCGCTGCCTCGCCTTTTACCTGGACAGGACTAAACCATTTCGTACTTCACCTCTTCTGTCTGTGTTGTATGCAGACCAGATGAAGGGACAGACAATCTCTTCACAGACGGTCTCCAGGTGGATAACTTCCTGCATCAAGACTGCATATGAAATAGCATGAGCAATGCCCCTCAAAGGGTACAAGCTCACTCTACAAGGACACAGGCTACATTGATGGTATTTTTAAGTGATGTGTCAGTATTGGACATTTGAAGAGCCACCACTTAGTCATCTGTGCATACGTTTACCAAGCATTATGTCATTACTGCAGCATCCAGAGCAGATGTGAACTTTGGTAAAGCAGTTCTGCAGTCCTTGTTTAAGTAGACTCTGGGCCCCATCTCCTTCAGGTACTGCTTGTGAGTCGCCTAAGTGGAATACATGTCTGCATCACATCTCAAAGAACCACAGTTACAGCAACTAACCATTTCTTCCAAGGTTCGCCGCCCCCCCCCCGAGATGTTGAACATTTGCAACTTCCATTGACTGTACCCAGAGTTGTAGTGCTCAGTTCTTCTGAAAACCAGGCCCTCATTGTGTAGCTCAAATTATTCACTATACACTTCAGTAAATATGGAATTTTGCTATGGGCCTTGGATATATTCATTAGCTCCTTTTTTGAGCCTTGTCCTAACTAGTATTTATGTTCTAATACCTCCCAGTTCTTAAGGATTCTACCATTACATTTTAGGTAGGCAGGCAATTGTAATTTTATTATCACAGGCTATAAGGGATGGAATACATTGCCCCTTCCCTACTCTGTCTCTTAAACAACATAGGATAATAGGGAAAATTCTTTGCTGGTATAACACAGAGAATTTGGCCCAATATTTTTCCCCATTATCAGCCCCATATTGAAAATCTTTTCCCATAACCTTATTTCTATATACGATTCCCTCTATTTGTCTGTTTTCTTTAGGTGGTTTTATTATATTGTTGTGTACTTATAATATTTTAAAAAGTTATTGTGAATTATTAGGCAGTGCCCTGAGCACCTTGGCATGATCAGTGGGTCTAAAATTAATGGGGAATCTCCACTTATTCAGTGAATCCACCATAAAGAATCATTATCTCAATTATCATTAAATGATGTTCTTATGATATATTATGTTGAAGAAAAATGTGTCCATCAAACCTACAGCTAGAATCATTTGGTACTATAAGTATAGGCCGTTGGTAAAATTCACCCCTGTGCTGAGGGACAGCACAGGCCTATCCCCCACTTAGATCCCACTGATTTTGTGCTGCCTTTCTAAACATGGATGAATTTCATCCCTTAAGAATATTCACCTGTTACATGGTAAAAGAGAAGATGCACCAAGCCATTGCCTATAGTAGTTAATTGTATGCACCAGAAAATGAAAAGTCTATAAGAAACAGGTGTAATTTAACCAACTAACATAAACTCCAATATTGCAAAATATTAAGATGACCTAATTACCTTAAAAAAAGAGAAAGTAGCTTCAGAGAATGAAATGGAAATTGGATTTACAATATAACAAAAACCTTTTTGAAACATCTTAAGTAATTTAGCAAGTATAAATTTTAGACCTCCTGCTGCCCAACAAAATTATGAAAAACTTTTAAAATAGTGACTCCATTACTGTTTGAGTTATAATTTCTCTTCGTATATTTGTTTATTCCATAAGGCCTGTGACATACAGTTGAGAATACTGAAGCGTATCCCTCTGGAACAACCTGAATTGATCCCTTCTCAGAAGCAGTTGGCATCATTGATCTGTGTACAGTTTGCTGAGCAATACCTAATTGAGAAAGAGTATTTACAAGCTGTTAAATGGTATAAAGATGCACTATGTTATACTCAGACAGATAGTAAAGTAAGTATTGTCTTAAATCCAAGTCAGTATCTGTTCAACAATACTTTAAGTGCACATTAAGCTGGAAAAATAGTTATGTTAGCCACTTTGTTATTTAAGGGGTATGATGAAAATATGTTTAAATATTTAGAATATAAAAAGTACTGTGAGTGAATTCTTAAACTTGCATTTCAGCAGAACAGCAACCAGAAAAAAATAAATACATGCAAGAAGGAAATATTAGTCCAGGCTTTTATTAGTACTTTTTCATTTATTTATTTTATAAAATTCATCCAGTTACCAAAAAACATGGAGCATATGTACAACAACAAAAAAACAGTTGTTTAAGAGAAATTAAATGACAACTGCTACCTCCAGAAAAAAAGCCTTTTCCTATTATACATTTTCTTAATCTTCTGAAGCACGTTTCTATTCGCAACAAAGAAAGGGCCCAGCCCTATAAGATTTACATATGCAAAACTCCCATTACAATTTTGGGCGTTAGATTCTCAGGTCCACTAAGCAGTACAACATGGCCTTGAATATGATGGAGATATCCTATCTTCTAGAACTGGAAGGGACCTTGAAATGTCATTGAGTCCAGCCCCTTGCCTTCACTAGCAGGACCAAGTACTGATTTTGCCCCAGATCCCTAAGTGGCCTCCTCAAGGATTGAACTCACAACCCTGGGTTTAGCAGGCCAATGCTCAAACCACTGAACTATCCCTCCCCCCTGTGCATGCAGAACCTCAATTGAAGTCCATGTGAATTTTGCCAAGTTAGATGCTAATGTTCCCTTTCTGCAAGAAGCGTGCAGTGATGAGCACAACTTTGGGATGCTGTACACTCTCAACTTCATAGTTTCATAGATTTCGGGGCCAGAAAGGACCACTGTTGTCATCTAGTCTGACCTCCTCTATAATACAGACCATAGAACTTCCCCTCAATAATTCCTATAGCAGATCTCTTAGGAAAAACATCCAATCTTGTTTTAAAATTGCCAGTGAGAGAATCTACCATGACCCTTGGTAAATTATTCCAATGATTAACTATTCTCATTGTTAAAAATGTGTACCTTATTTCCAGTCTGAATTTGCCTAGCTTCAGCTTCCAACTGTTGGATCATGTTAGACCTTTCTCTGCTACATTGAAAAGACAATTATCAAATATTTGTTCCCCAGTTAGGTTCTTATAGACTGTAATCAAGTCACCTCTTAGCCTTCTTCTCTTTGTCACCCCTTCAAATGACTTCACTGGGAGCTGATGGCACTCAAGCATGTCACAAGATCAAGCATCTGCAACTTCCATTTAAATGAGAACATGCATGTTTTCCTGGAGTAAATCACAACCATTTCCAAAGGTTACATGGCATGTACTGTGACTTTTCTGTAACTGTTTTGCCCCACATCAACTGGAGCTGTTTATTTCTAAGAGAAAAAATGCTATACCCATCATTTGGGACAATTAAAACTAGACAAGACAAAAGCACTGAAGAGCATACTGGTCTTTGGAGCATTCTGCTTTGTCAGGAGGATGGCATAAATGTTGTTATGGGACAAATTTATCCCTGAGATCACTTTGCTGAAAATCTTTTCCATCTCTAACCTCTGAGATAGGAATTCTGAATCAAGAAAGAAAAAAAATATGACTCAATATCAATTACACTGATCACTGAAATATTTCCCTTCTTTAATTACTTGTCCTTATTCTCCCAGGTACTATTGCAGTTGGCTCGTCTTTATTTGACAGAAGGAGATATCGTGTCATGCGAACATCATTGTGCTCTGCTTCTTCAAGATGACAATTGCAATGAAATTGCAACAATGGTATAAATGGGTAATATTTAATCATCTATAGACCAGATTAAAGAATTATTTTCAATGTTTAGGCTATTCTAAAGACATTCCTCTGTGTATTGGCATAATATGTCTTATGTCCAAGAAGCTACACTGCAATCGATAGCAAAATAGGTTGCACCTACTAAAGAAACGTTTTCCATGAAGAATCAGAGGAAAGGGAGGTAAGGGGAAAGTGAAAGGCAAATGTATACCTCCCAATCTCCATAAGCGCAGAAAAAACATTAAGCATATACTTACTTATGAGTAATGGAAAAGTGTTTGCTTTTTTGAGGGTAATCTTATACTTCTATCAATTTAGCCCAGGGCAAAGTTTCTCTGATTTGCAGTTCAGTCCATGTTTCACATGGCACCAAGTGAAAGATCAGTGTTTATTGCATATAAGTGAGATACATGGCTTGTTTACATTGTGGATGAATGTGCTATAGCAGTTGTGATTTCTAAAGGGCACTAATGTGTTGCACATTAAGTGGTCCGTGTATACCCTGCTGGTGCACACTAAAGGTTCCCTAGTGTGCTTTAATGTAGTACTGTTTCAAACAGCACTATGTTACTATGCACCAGCAGGGTCTACACCGATCGATTCATGTGAGCACTTTAGTGTGGCCGAGATACCACACCCCTGTAGAGCCCATTGCTCCACCAGGTAGACAAGCCCTGAGTCAGTAGATGAAATGGGACACCTGAAAATGAGTTTGGATCCCCTCCAACAGTGCAGTTTACTACATGATAAGTCTGTATGGTTATTACTTGTTTCATTATGCCTTTTAATTTGTAATGTTGAAAGATACCCTTTGATATTATTCAAAATAACAGTTCAAGAAAAACAAAGCCAGCAGCAAACAGTCAGGTAAATATTCACCCTTCTTCTACCCTTTTTCTTTGTACCTTTCCCTATCCCATTCATTTTCAGCCTTCAACTCTGCCAACTTTATAGGTTTTCTCTGAAGCTCAAAACACTTGAATGTGGGATTCAATCTAGAATAGCAGGTGTGACAAAGTTCCTCCTCTATCTTAGTGGGTCCTGCGCTTATTGGTGGATTTTCTTGCCTCAGAGATTCACCATGTGGGTTGGGGAACAGCCCAGAGACCTTCCCCTCTGGGAGAACCCACAGTCCAGGTCAATTGGGAGGTTTGGGGGGGAACCTGGGCCCGCCCTCTACTCTGGGTTCCAGCCCAGGGCCCTGTGGACTGCAGCTGTCTATAGTGCCTCCTGTAACAGCTGCATGACAGCTACAACTCCCTGGGCTACTTCCCCATGGCCGCCTCCAAACACCTTCCTTATTCTCACCACAGGGCCTTCCTCCTGGTGTCTGATAACGCTTGTGCTCCTCAATCCTCCAGCAGCACACCCTCTCACTCTCAGCTCCTTACACCCTCTCACTCTCAGCTCCTCACACGCACACCACAAACTGATGTGAGCTCCTTTTAAAACCCAGGTGCCCTGATTAGCCTGCCTTGCT